TTTTAATAAAGCACATAGCCGGCCTGTATTTATCGGGTATGGTTTATTAGGATTTACGCCGCGACTTATTACGCGTCGGGATGACGTAGCCGTTTCAATTAGGGCGTTATCGTTTCTGTCGTAAAACCTAGCAGAGCTTGCTTTATTGCTTGATTTAGTCGCTTCTCGGAGGATTGTTAATAACGGTAATAATAGTTAACGAACGCGTACCGCAAGCTGAGTCGACATGCGAAAGTAGATTTATTTTTCACTTAGGCGATATAGTTTGCTTATTACTAGGAGACGGAATAGGAAAACAACGTCACTCTAGGGTGAAATAAACGGACCTAAATATTATCGCCGGCATTTTAACCCTATTTAGTACCCTTCTTTTCTGCAAGGGTGGAATAGTAAATGTGCCTTGTATAAATGAAGCAAACAAATGAAAGTACAAAAGTTTATTAACATTAATATTTGATATTTAACAATAATTCGCTCTAAGTTAATAACAAACATCATTTACAACCGTCTTTAAAAACGAAAGCACAATTTGAGAAGGAACCTATAACAGTAACACCAGAAAAACTACCTAAATTTTCTTTGCCATCGAATAAATGTTGTTCATTTTCCCTCACAATCAATTCAGAACCATTTTCATCAGTAGTTATGTCGGCTGCTGCTATTAAATGGGAAAGTTTGTTCTTGGACATTATACTATCTTCTACGTATCCTGATGCTACAGTATCGCTCTTCCATTTTACATGTCTTTTCAATGTTATCATATCTGCACCTACATCTACGAGAAGAGTTGCCGATGTACAAACAATGACCGGTGTAAATTTTAGCATCTGCATAGCTGAGATATTTTGCAATCCTGGACGGTATGCTACCGGTATTTTTGCCTACTGGTTGCACAGTACATCGACCATTCCGATATGTAAGAAAAAACCGCCGTTGTTTAATTTCTTTTGGTCGCAAAGATATATATACTGTCGATAGAATTGGAGAAGTCGAAGACTTGTGCGGGACAGGAGGCGGCATATTATTATTATTAGTAAGCAGGCCGCATTTGCGCCCAGGAACGACTTATGTTGATAGGCCCTAACCACCATTCAATGCAGGAATGAGGGAAACCTGGAAAACCTCATTAATTAGGGAATAAATAAAACATGTATGCACCACGGGAGATACTTGGATGATTATGCCCTTAGTCATCCCTGTATCTCCCTCGGTACATAAATAACTATTTAAGTCAGACAGGTCCTGTCAATAAAGCAATTAAGAGGCAGTCAGTGAGCTGCTGCTAAATCTTAAAATGAAATATAGACTATTTGCAAACTTAGAAATTATTATTTTTAAATATTCTAATTACAGAAAACAAATTGATTTCAAATATTTTAATGAAGGTTCAGAATCATTCTGCATTTGTTTTCTTTGGGAAAAGATTTACTGAGATTATTCACTCATTTCAAGACTCCTCTCGATGAGAATTTTACCGTAATTATTGAGACAAAGTACATTTTGATGTAAAATCTCCACTACGGTTAATATTGATGTTGTTTAAATTAGTCAGTGTTTTTTTTTTCACCTCTACTGTTTACACTTTGTGCCCCAAACACTTTTTTTGCAAGCGCCTTGGGTTACTGTGAAAGAAAAACATCTATACTCGAAAACAAACAAACATCCATATTTTCGTTTTAACAGTTGTAGTGACATTAGTTTTTTTTTCTACCATTAGTACTTTATGAAATACTCTAGAACACCATCCATTACACTAAAAGCAAGTATTATGCAGTTATCCTTATGACGTCAACAAACTTAAGAAGCATTAAAACTAACAGCTTCCTGAACTTATATATTAGACGTGAAAATAAAATACATCTTCGTTGCTACCGTAAACACATAACTTCCAACGTCAAACTTCTGCTCAACAAATAAACAGTAATGGAATGTTTTGGAAACCAATTATCCTTTAACAGTTTGCGAAAAATAAATCCGTCATTTGAACAGGCAAATTTAAAACTCTAAGGGACGGAATATACGTGTCCCCATCGAGTTTATTTGGTGGAAAGATGTTTATTACGCGAAAGAGGGGAGCAAGGGCAGAGAGCGCAAGCTGTTGGTCTAACACACATTTTTGTCTCCAGTTTTAAGCACCCAAGATTTATCTTTCTATTATGAACGCGTGTTAATTCGAAGCGACGTTTTTTTTCTGCGCAGTTCTCATCCACAAACATAATTCTGTATGTAAACCCTGCTATTGATTTAGCAAAATAAACTTCGCCAGTTAAGTCATAAACTATACAATACGTTCCATATTATATACCTTCGACATAAACTTTCTTATTTTAAATGGAACACCCTATATAATATTTCATTTTTAGTTGGAACGGAACGGATGGGACAACTCACTCAACAATAATTATTTACGTTAAGTTAAGGGTTTTCAAGTAGGTTTAGCGTCGCCATAATGTCGTTGAGAAACTAGTGTATCTTGTCACCAGGAGTAATCAATTTGCAAAGCAGTCCTTCGGAGAAAGCCTCATGAAATTTAGCAATGATTTTGAACAAGTAAACTTAGATCGTCGGGGCCATGTGTTGGGCATCTGGTATCGACTAACGGTTTAGTCCGTGGTAAAGGGAAAATCGATATTTCTAATAACGCGCGAAATACATTCGAAAAGACGTAGGAATTCCAAGATATTTAAATAAGATGTTAGAATGTTGTGAGGAAAATAATAATAGATCAAATAGCTGGTTTTTAGTCGGATTTTCCAACCCGTAAGAATAGATTAAATGAAATTGACTAATCCGTCCCGTGTTACTATACGGAGTCACAAGAGGAAGGTGTAGGGTTGCTTGTAAGTTCAGTTTAGTCACAAAATTATCCGTACAATTGTAAATTCAGTCAATTAGGATTAACATGGTATAGTTAAGCCATTTCAACTGAAACTTATGTACCTAAGAAATGGGCGTGTCGAAACGAGGTGTCGAATTCAGGAGAGATGTCCGAAAAAATGGCAATTTCTACTTGGGTATTTCCAAATTTTGGTATGAATTCGCGTTGGGTACCCTGAATCTCGGATTGCGTTATCGCGTGTAAATTAATTAATAATATTTGTTCGAATCCGTAGTGTCTTCGTTATTTTGTTTTTATTGTTGTCTTCGAAATTTTAGTGTTTTCTTGCTCTTCTAAATTAAGTGTCCATCGCCTATATCATTTTACATATTTGATATTGATACTATACTGATTAGGTCTTCTTGGACCCAGATCTATAATTAAAAACCCTCGTAAAAGCGATTTGGTCCCAACACCGCCCTTTATGTCCGGTCTATATCGGGAGACGTGACGTCAACGTCGAATGATCAACAATTGAATAGATCTCCATCTGGCCTACTACGTATAGAAGTCGGATAGCTTTACTACTGTGTACGAGAGCTTTGTTTGAAAAAATAATAACCCAAAACGAGGCCACAACTTCTCTCTATTTCTGTCTACTCGAAGCGGGGGGAGATGCATTATAGATGCTTATTTGCAGCACCGAAGGCCATTGGGGAGTTTCCTGTTCTTTTTTAAGCCATCAGCGGGTAAGAACAAAGAAACTTTCGTCGGAAAGCAGAATGTGTCGTCCAGCGAATTTAAATGGAACGTTATTAAAAAATTGGAATGTAATTAAAGTTTCATTGAAAATTGGTGCCTTGCTGGAATCAGACAGGTGGAAAGTTGTTGAAATTAAATTACACACTTATGTATCAGGATTTAATGAATGTATTCTAGTTAACTTCACATTTAAGTTTGGAACTTTGGTAAAGTCAATTCAATTGGAATCCAATTTGGAACGAATTTGGAATCTTATGTGCTAAAATTTGATCAATTAAGTCTTGAAATTCAGTCAGATTCGCATCTACATCTAACAGGAAATCAACTGGAACTATACAGGGTGTATGTAACTATCGTGAAATTTTTAGTGGAACTTCAAAACAAGCACCTAATCTGTCACCAGTTTATTGTTGTCAATTTAACACATACAGTGAATGTTTATTTGAGTATTATTTATTGTTAAAGAATGGAAAACGTTAACATTTATTCAAATAAATAAATTCAAATTTATTTACCAGTACAATTTAAATACACAAAGATACCTCCATATTTTGAGAACTGTTGTAACAGATTCTTAGAGGATCTACCCCTAGATCAACTAAGAAGCTGCTGGTATCAGCTAGACAGTGCTCCACTTCATTGTCGAAACGAAATATCCCGCCAATTAAACGAAATGCTTGAAGACCGGTGGATTAGACGTCTAGGACCTCGGATTGGCCACCAATATCTCCAGATCTGTCACCGCCAGATTTTTATATCTGGGGTGCAATAAAAGAGAAAGTGTACTCAAGCCAGTTTATTCCAAAGAAAACTCAGTTGCCCGTATAAGAGAAACGTTTGAAACTTTACCTGCTGCCCAAATATCCCGAGCTGTTACAGATGGGATAACAAGAAGGATACATAACTGCTTGTTGCCCAAAATTTCACTGTTTGTTTCTCTTACTTTCATTTTAATAGCAGCCAATGGTTCATTTGTAAATCCAGGTGTTCCATCTATAGATCTGTACCACTTAGAAATTGTTTTTGTATGTGGCAAAGCCATGTTAAAACTTCTTCTTGCATAATTATAAGCATCTGTTGAATAAAAGCTTAACGTTAAGGCAAACGACCTAAGCTCAGGTGAATACTTTTTACGAGATTGTCATTTTCTTGATCTTTGACAGATTTCACCTGATATTCCAGGTGCTGATTCCTAAAATTACATATTGTTTACAGACACATTAAGAATAAGTATTTTTCAACTTACATGAATGATACATTGAGCAGTTTCTGTTGTCATATTTCTATTTCAAAAATTTCAGAAGAGAATTAAGGCTACAAATTCTGGCTTTTAGACGACTCTTTGCCTGCTGCAGACTTCGGATCTTTATTGTTTGCATTTTTATTTTTTTCTTACAAATACTCCAATTTTTTCTTGCTCTTTTTGGACTATCCATGTCAGAAGTATGGCATTCTCCAAAATATCGTGGATAAGGCCTTTTCCTAAAAATGAAGAATTATCTATTCCAGATGTATTTTATATAAACACTTACGGTAGTGTTTATATAAAATAAAATGGTAATATATAAATAGATAACAGGTAGAATTTTCTTGGTATTTTTTAAAATGTACCGAATAAAAAAAAATGTTAGATAGGTAAGCAGATAGCAAAATTATAGGGTATTAGTTGTAGATACTATACAAAGGATATATCATTTGTTAATTATATTTTTATAACTTACTTCACGTTTATAATTTTATTACGATTGGGTGAATCCATTCCGATTTCTGATGCAGTTAATGTTGATCAATGTTTTGGTACGGTGTCACCAAATTTCAAATATATTTCAGAAAGATCTGTAGCCTTATTTGTAGTAGATTGAGCACTCAGTGGCGATGACGATGAACATGTGGATATATTTTCTGGTTTTTGTTGACTGTTCCATAAGAACATCATTTAGATAAATATTTTCCTTATTAGAACTGTCTATAAAAATTAAATAAAAAGGTAAAGGGGTACTAGGTAACTGTAAAGGCTTTTTACTTGTATATTTTAGTCAATATAAAAGTTATTTTACCTGCTATAAGTAGAAGCTATTATTGGAATAGCTATCTCTCACAAGTACTTTATACCTGATGGGTTTGTCAGAAAATCATTAATCGCAAAAAGATCAGAACAAACAAAAATGTTGTCGGTAATATTGTTATCACCTAGGGAGAGCTTCCACAGGTTTCTCCGTTCCAGATTCTTAGGAAATCTAAAAATATATAGGTATTACACATAATATACTTATAATATTACTGAAACAGGAAAAAATAAGTTGAACAATTAAAAAATATTTTTTTTTAATAATTTAGATAATGATTTAGTTAGTATTTTATCACTGCTAATGAAGTACTAAATGTAAAACACCCTTATGTAATTCCTCAAACGCCGCCCATGTTGCTTGTTTACTTACCTGTCAAAAGACCGCTGCTCGCCCTTTTTAAATGAAACTCTACAAATAACACACTTTCTAACCATGTCTTAGCACTAAATGAATGTCCATACATAAAAACCACACAACAATAAGACGAAAGTGACACACTAAACACAAATAAACACAAATACGTTACTAGCGGCTACACACTTTTCCTCTGACAGATGTCATCGACAATCATCGAAATGCGGACGTAGGCGGGAATATTAATTCGACCAATAGAAATTTGTGTCTCCCGAAGGTCTGATTTATGTATGTACATTCGCAAACAAATACATCCAAAGCTCCTTCTAGTGGTTACAATTCGTTGGGCATTCCCAAAAACACTATTGCCCAGATTTTCAAAATTAAAATCGAAGTAGTATCTCTAGTAGAAATATGTCTAATGTCTCGTCGCCATGGGGCATCTGTTAATTAATTTCGATTGTTTTTTTGCAACTAATTGTTTACTTACGTTTAAACGTTAATTTTAGATGTTAGTATCGTAGATATAAACAAATTGTCGTTGGGTCAGGCAAAAGGCGCTCGGGGATTCGCTCTTTTTGCATTAAGTTTAACTTATTGTTACGGTAATTTAAAAAAAAAAGAGAACAGAAGAGTTACTTTTTTGATATTATCATTCTACATACCCTTCTCCGTCATAAAGTGCAATGAAATATCTACAAATAATTTTTCCACGTTCGAACTGATTCAACTGAAGTATATGTTTCGCCTGTGTCGCCTGCACCACCCTGTATCCTCTCAATTTAATCTCGATAAACCGCGTTTTGTACTCGCAATACGTTATCACTGTCGCCGTAAATCCGTCCGCTTGGAAAATTCTCTATGACGGATTTCCCAGACTTCCGTAATGCATTAAACTAGTTTACAGCTGGAAATCCTACCGCAAACTTTCTTAATGTTATCGAAAGGCGTCCGGTTTATCCTGAATGGCGCGCGTCAATATTTGCAGGGCGTGATTGAAAAATGTGGCGGAGGCACACCTGAACGTATGGAACGTGGAAAAGCGCATCCAGTCACGTACATGATTCGTTTTCCCGAAGAAAAATATTTAGAGGAGCGAGACGTATTTGTTCTCTAAATACGCGTTATGTAACAAATAATAGGCGAGCGGTTCACCCCTAAAAAGATGCTTCTAAATGAAGGTAACCGACAAAATTTTTCAAACAAGATAATTTGCATATTTTTTATATTTTTCGGCGTTGTCAGTCAATTGTTATGAACAAAAAAGTTGTAAAAAAAAATTACTTGCCGAATGGCTTTTATTATTGTAAAATGAACCAAAATAAACACTTTTGTTCATTGAAAAAAATTCGAAAAATGCTACGTTTCCGAGATATTTACAATTTAATGTGAAAATAGTGACGAAATCGACAAATTTTCCGAATTTTTTTCTCAAAAACTACTGAATAGAATTTAATTTTAAAAAAAGCATAATAATCGTCAGATCTACTTTAAGATATATTTTTTTGGTGTAGGTCAATTATTTTATTGAAGGTCTAAAGTGAGTAAATAACAGTCTTAAAGAAAATCACGATAAACATACGCATCAAAATGGCATAACATAATGTTATTAGGATATTTTTAATCGATATATAACAATAACATTTAATGATTCAATCGGCTAATGCGGAAATAACCATAATTTTTCCTACATTTATAATAATTAAATATAATTTTTGCAATAATTATTTTCATGCTTTTTTTAATGCAAAAATTATTATTTATGATTAGAATTATATTACTATTAATGTTTGGTTGTATGGATTTTAATTATTTTGAAGAAATTGCGTTAGATATGCTTCAAAAATATTTTTGTTCATGTAGTGGAAAATGTTCTACGAAAAATTCTAACTGTTTGTCATCGAACCTGGAATGTTGTGCAGTCTGTGCGTGCTCAGACGAATGTAAGAATGTTCCATCCAAAATTGATTATGAAACGCTTATTTCTACTCGAGAACTTGTCAAAAATAACGAAAAAAACTTATTATTTCAAAATTAAATAAAAAAGAAATTAATATACTTTTATTGCCCTTAATATTTTTGTAAAATAAAAATAAAATAATTATCCTATACAATAAATTATCCAATAACTTTTTTATTTTTCGAGACCGCTAGGTCAATTATTATTATTAGGTTAATTTTACGATTTAAAAAGCTTATTTAGTTTAGTTTTGGTATAACTTTCAAGTCAATTTTAGCCATTTATAAAACCAAAAATCGAATATTTAAATTTTACTAATTACTTGCAAAAACCTTACTCCGGCTACAAAACCAAACAAAATGATCTTTTGAACATTTGTACTGTTAACATATATCGATTAAAAAAAATCATAATAATGTTTATTGTAAATATAATCTAATCCAAGATATTGTAAAAAGAAAATTTAAATTTGAAGTGTTATCATAATTTTCTATAAAAGACTTTTTTACTCGCTTTAGACCATCAATAAAATGATTGACCCATACCAAAAAAAATATATATCATAAAGTACAAAATCTGCCGATTATTATGCTTTTTTTAGAACTAACATTTGTTCAGTAGTTTTTGAGATAAAATTCCGAAAGTTTGTCGATTTCTTCACTTTTTTCACATTAAATTGTAAATATCTCGGAAACGAAGCATTTTTAGAATTTTTGTCAAACAACAAAAAGTGTTTAATTTGGTCCATTTTATAATATAAAACTGCTATTCGACGAGTAATTTTTTTTTACAACTTTTTTGTTTATAACAATTTACTGACCACGGCGAAAAATATTAAAAAATATGTAAATTATCTGAAAAATACACTATAAAATAAAAAAAGTTTCATGCTGTAGGTTTTTGTTTTAAAAATTTAGTCGGTTCATGCCTTTTCTTTAGGGGTGATTTTCGATATAACTCGAAAAATTTTTAATATTTTTTTAATTTAAAAAATGGTGTTTTTTTTTACTACTTGTCGAGGGCTACATTTACAGAAGGTAACAAGTTTTAAAACTTTCATTTGCAAGAGATACAGCAAAAACAAAAAAGTCGATTTTTGACGGTTTTTTCGATGTATCTCGAAAAGTAATATATTTAAAAATACGAATCGATAGGATCTTTTAATAGCTACAACTTTCTCATTTAACTTTTTCGTTTGGAGGCCAATTTTTTTTTATTAGCGAAAAACCTTTTTTTTTACGTATGAATTTTTTAGGTTATTTTCGCCGTTTATGCGCCACAGGAAAAACACTATCTTTCTTAGAATTTTTTTTACTTATATCACTATATTTTTTGTTTCCAGATGGTATTTTTTGTAAATTTATCTAATTTTTCTTATTTAGATTTCTTTGTTTATTGAATTATCGTACACTGTAAAGTGTCGTTAAACTCTGTAAAATCCAATTAGTTATTTAAACGATTATCGCCACGCGTTACAATAAAACATTTCTTATTATTAACTATTACCTTCATACATAACTCAATAAGTTGTTGCGTCAAAATTAAAACACTATTACAATTTTAATTTTATTATGAAAATTAATTCTTAAAAATGCATATGAACAACCAAAACGCCAACTGAATATTATTCTTTAAAAAAGTTCAGTAAATGTTCAAAAACATTTTCGTATTGGCAAAGGTTGAAAATGATCAGCGTAATATTACCGGAACTTATTATATTTGTAACCGCAACTGTAAAAGAGCAAGATGTATTTGTATGAATATCCTAAAAAAATAGATCGGAATTTGTTTGAATTTCGAGCACTCGAAAAGACTAAAAATATGGACACGGGAATAAAACTCTAATAATGTTTTATTTTAATGCGTGGTGGTAATAGCTTAAATAACTAGATGGATTTCAAAGGGTCTAACGACACTTACAATGTACGATAATTCAATAAAAATATTAAATTTTGGAACGAATACACTGAAGATGAATTTTTCGAGACAAAACGTCTGAACCTGGTTCGGGCTGAGGCAGTGCAGTATTTGGGGTCATGAAGGCTTGCAAAAAAATGCAATAAAAAATTTCCAGGTTCCACGAAATCTTTATTCTACTAATTTCGCTGGTAACACGGGACACAACCGAGCAGTAACTAGGCTTCAAGACTTCTGGTTCGTGCCTCGAAATGTTTTCGGTTTTTATCCTTGTCCCCAGGTACCTACTTTTATTACCCTATCCTTATCCGGGTCACTACCTACTCGGTTTGTGCTTATGTACCCTAATAAACAACAACTAATTTATGTTTACAGCCTATTTATTCTAATCTCATTTGCTAAATACATTTATTTGGGATAATCTCGGATAATTCAAAGTATAATTTATATGGC